CTTATGTCTGAAAGGCAGAATTCACGAGAAAGGGAGAATTTGTGTGCGACACCGCAGCCTAGTGAAGCACACATACCCTTGTACGAAGAAGGAATACAATGTATGCATCATATACCCTCAAATTTGCTAAGACCTTTTCAAATATTAAATGCAGATTTATATATATGTAGACTTGTACATTTACCTCAACAGGAGATTTCTAAAAGTTTGGCAGTACTATTCAGAAAAGACAGTTCTTCAGAAGAAAGCTGAGAGAGCAAACAAATGGTCAGGGACAAAGTACATGGCAAATACTCTTATTTGCTACAAATGACAGCTGTTAAAACAACAAAAAAACCCAATTAGCTAGCCCTTTGTAACAGATGTTTCTACAGCAAGTACTAGTGGTTTTGATTTTCATATTTAAAACTAACTATGAACAGAAAGTTAAAAATACACATCTGATGCATGAAAACAATCTCAGCTGATAACCAAATTAATACTGCAGATTTGGTAAATTGTGACCTTTATTATTTTGGAATTTCTAATGTAAATGTAAACCAATCATTCTGTAAGGTGATGATGCAAGCACCAGGGAAATATTATTTATTTCTGTTCTCATGTTATGAAATTTATTTTGCATCTGTTATTTATCCAAAAGTTGCCGGGAACAGGAATATACGTAGTTATACTATCAACAGCACTATGTATCTATTAATCAGAAATGAATCTAAGCTTTCAAACTATTCAAAAGCTCTTAAAATGAGGCAGACATCTCATAATTTAAGATTTTGTCTCCCCCATCACTTTTGGAGAAGAGAAAGTTGGCAGAAAATACAAAGGGGAAGGAAAAAGGAGGAAGATGCCTGTTCTGCAAAGAATTAAGGTAAAAGCAGATAATTAGGCATGTATATAAGTACTAAGCTACAAATTTTGCTTATATTCTTTAATATTTTAAAATTTTGAATTTTAACCCATGTTTAAAATATCTAGTAATTACTAAAAAAATTAATGATTTGTCAAAATAATTGTTTATGAGC